TCAAGATTAGAGGAATGGTCAAAGTCTTATGGAGAGTTTTTCAAGCCTTGTGATTACCTGGCTGCAAGAGCTGCCAAGGGCATTCCTCTGGTGAGAAACTTGAGCCTCATATGTTTTCTTTAAATGCTTGACTAGTGACGACACATTGTAGGAGTGTTTACCCAGCTACATTATCAATTTACTCATTGGCATTGGTCAGGCGTTGCCTATAATGGATCTTTTTGCCTGAATATTAGTTTCACTCATAACTCAAGAATAGGATACCAACTTCAGGAAGTTCGTAGTTAGATGCACGGACTACTTCTTTAACACATATAGTGCGTGTACTACTAAAAGCTAAAACCGTCAAATCCTTTTTAAACTCGTTGACTGCTTTAAATCGGACACTTAACTAATCCTTGTGGAGCAACAAGACTTATTTGTCTTAAAATCACATTGTTGGATCTTCAAAATTTGTTAATACAGTTTCCAACTAACTAGAGCTGTGCTATTCATTTAGTACTCGTCTTTAAGGTACAATTGGCTAGAAATTATTCCCTAGCTTTTGCATCTTGGCGGTGTTCTGATATCTCAGTATAAGTTGAGTTTCAGGAAGGCAGGCTCAAGCGCTAAGTTCTGCTTGCTTATCTATCGCTTTACCACGTGACACTTCTAGTATTAGTGAATGCCCTTCGCCAGTCATCAGTGTCGCCCTCTAATTGCATTTGTGCTTTTGCATTGCAGAGTGCCCCTGTGGAGCAAGTTAAGTCGCGGTTGTAAGATATAGATGACTCATAACATGTTCGCGTGATCAAACTACCGCTGTTCTTTAGTTTTTATTGGTAAATGAAAAGAATATGGGTCAGAGAACAAAATAAGCTTTGATTGGAGAATTTGGGTTGGGTGGAGGAGAGTTGTTGGATTAAAATAAAGTTCAGGAGGGGATGTAATTTAATTTCCTTTATCTCGTGAGAGAAAAGTATTACGGGGAATAGAGTGTGTATGACATGTGCTTGTCTCTTTTCACTCACTCTTGTCTTCTTTCTCCGTGCCTTACATTGAAAGCATTTCACAAATTTTTAATTTCTGAGAATCTATACTTCTATTTACTCTTGGGTCCATTTGCCACAACGCATTGAAAAATGAGAGGTGAGAATTTGGATTAGAATTGAGAAAAAAGTGTTTGGTAGAAGCAATTTCTTGTTATATGGGATTAAGTAATCCCATACGGAATGTCATCTATTCTCATAGTATTTTCCAATTCTATGAATATGAATTTTTCCAATTGAAAGTCACAAGCAATCACATATGCTAAGCACTCTTCAACATATTTTTTTAATCTTGATCCTAATTATTACTTTTCATTTTTAATATTTTGTATCAAATGGTACCTTATTTCTCACCATCTTATTAATAGCACCTACAGCGAAGTGACGATTTTACTTCCCATTTTTAACATATATCTTTCTCTGTTTCTAGAATTAATAGTACAAGTAGGATTCCCTCTTTTTCCCCCTCTATCGTATGTGGGGGATGAAACACATTTACAAGTTTTTAATTTGAGATAATCTAAATCTATTTACTCTGATTTCTATTATCCTGGCTCAGGTATGTGCCACTCTTGGTTATGGCCATTAATGCTAATTTAAGTGGTAGATGAGTTAAATAGAAATATTATTAGGTAGATTTGATTTATGAAAAGCAGGCTATTCAGACCAGTAAGCATATTAAGCTGTGTTCTAGACGTGTAGGTGTTCATATGGTATTTGTTTAGAGCAAGTTCAGGGCTATAAGCTATTTCCAGCTCATTGGTCAACTCCATTTAGATCTGGCAACTTGAGAACCGCATGGAATAGTTTTGGCCGTCTTCTCTGCTCTTTAACATGTAATAAAAAATAACAAGATTTCTTCGTTTCAAGAGATGGTATCTCGCGTCAGTCAAGAATTAGCCAAGTTGTGAGGATTCTGTTTTATGTCTCACCAGATTTTGGCTCATTCATGTGATTCCTTTCTTTGACATGACATTTCATTTTACTTTTCAGATAATGAAATAACCAACCATATCAGGTTTGTTTTTCATTAATATTATCAAAATTTGAAGATAAAAAGGTTATTTGTAATTTAATCAAGTGTATATGTTTTATGATTATCAATGACACTTGTCTCCATTTGCTCGTTATATCATATAAATATGTACTCCTCCGGTTCTTATTATAAGACCCCATTTGACTTTTTATTTGGTCCTAATTATAAGACCCAATCCATTTTGTCTCTTATATTTATGTATTTTTTTTCCAAGATAATCCTTCTAATAATGATAGTTTTAGCCAATATACTTAATTAGCAAGGATATTTTAGGAATGACAACACTTATTTATTATAAATAACCAACTTAACTTACTTCCTTAATCTACTCAAATAAGTCAATTGGGTCTTATAATTAGGATCGGAGGAGTATATATGCATGCAAGAGTAGGTAAATAAATTTTAGTTGCACTGTCTCTCAAAAGTAGGACTGCTTCCCTAACACACGGTTGTCGCCGAGCGACTACTCTCCATTTGGAAGCATTGTTTATTTATTTGATATAAAAGCTCTTCAACCGCTTTCGCCGCTATGTTTAAATACTCCAATAACCTCTCTCTTTTTTGTTGGCGGAAAAAAAAAGAATCTCTCTCTTTTTTAATCATCTCTCCTTAAAATTTTCATTATTAAGTGCTCTGCCTTGTAACCTATAAAAAGATTAATAGTCCCTCTTAATATATGCCTTGCACAAAAGATTTTGTTTGACATTTAACTTCTCATTTTCTCTTGGCCAAAAAAAATCTCATCATTTACGCCTCTAACTCTTTTTTTTTTTTGGGTGCAACTAAGAGTATTCTTAAATCAATTTTAGATTTGAGATTAATCTTTTTTAGATTGGGAGTGTTAATGTTAAAATCCTTCCAACAAATGCGCTTCTCAGGATTTGAATTTATATTCTCCTCTATACAAGTGAGACCGCTTACCATCTCAACTAACAGTTTGTTATAAAAAATAAATAAAATCTTAAATTTGTTAACTCTGTTTTAAAATTTAATAATTTTTAACTTTATCCCTATTTTAATATATGTATTAAAAAATAATAGCATACAGAATAATAAATTAAGTAAAATTAACTTATATTAAGAATTAAAAAAACATTATCTCTACTGTGTAAATAGGAACGTTGGAGTATTTTAAACTCCATGACGAGGCGCAAGCATCAGCGATGTTATACTGTGCTATTGCCGTTTAACTGTAAGCCTTGCGCTGTTCTGTTGTTTTTCCCCTCTGAACTCATGACTTGTCCTTCGATAACAAGTTTTGAGCATCTTTGACAAAGGATGATCGAGGAGGAGGAATAAACCTTGTAGGATTATCATAAAATAATAACAACATCAATGAGAACAAGAAGGATTCATTAAACAAAATAAGAGTCCAACCACATTCCACTTGGCTTCCTCTTACGTTTTTTTAACTTAACACATAAACAATTAGCGTGGATCTCCATGCACTTCCATCGCTTCTTCCTATTTATTCTCATTTCCTTCATTTATATTACTCCTCTGGTCCTAAATATAAGATATGTATAAAGGTTTTATATTTAGGACCAGAAGAGTAATTACTAACTACTCCTTTCTCTGCCTTTTTTCCTTTTCTTTTTATATTCTGTTTTTCACCACACAAAAAAGAAACTAACACACTCGTTATATTTTCATAGAGGTATTATACTCGTGATCTCATATTGAAGTAAGATTTTAAAAAAAAATGTTTAGTTGGACTAAATGCCCTAAACATCTTCCCCTGTTTTTTTTAACTCTATTCATGAGTACTCACATGTAGTACTTAATAATATTTCAAATAGAATTACTCATATTAAAAGAATACGTGAAAAAAAAAACACTCCATTTCTTTCATTTTTTTTTCCCTTTTTGGGGTTAGTGTAACGTTGGAGGGGCAAGGAAGGAAAGGAATGGGAGAACCAAAGAGATAAGGTTTTAGGGTTTAAATAATTTCTGACTGCTAACAAACAATACCACTCTTCTGCACATCTCACGTACCCAAGGCCCCCCCCCCCTTCATCCTCTCTTGCATAGAGATTCTTCCTTCCCTTGCTCCTTCGTACCAGCTGCTTTTACCCCCTTACAAAGATTTCTTAATGTTCCTTTGATTATGTGAGGCATAGTCTAGATAAATGTATCCAGATTTTTTGTATACAGTAATACAATAATGAGCTATAAATAGAATCTCAATTATTCCTTCTTGGTTTTATTTATAAGTTTTAATTTGGATTGTCTTGACATTTAATATAATTTTTTTTAATTTTGTTCTTAATTATTTTATTTTTGTCATATTTTCTCTTATAACATTTTTTCACACATTCTCTTTCATCTTTTCCTTATTTATTATAAGAACATATTTAAAAATAAAATTTTATTTTTAACATATTTATTAGTAATTGAAATACTAGAGTACTTATTTAATACTACCTCCTGTTTCTAATGTAAGATTTTATTTGACTTTTATTTTGATCCTAAATATAAGACCCCAATCTATTTTGTCTCTCATATTTATATATTTTTTTTCAAGTTAGTTCTTTTAACAATGGTAATTCTCACCAATATACTTGATTAGTAAAGATATTTTTAGAAAGATAATATCTATTTATTACAAATAACTAATTTAATTTTTTTAATCTTATTAAATTAATCAATTAACTTTTATAATTACGACTAAAAATAGTATATGAAAATTAATAACCTCTCAGACAACAAAAACTGATAATTTTATTTTTAGATAATCAAAGAATGATATTTTAAGACATAGGAGAGTCAGTCATGCACGTGCTGACCTGAAGTCTCCGTCCCTCACTTCAATGCCTTCACTTACTTCACTGTCTCTCTCTTCTGTCCTCTGTTCGCCCTTTCCCTCTTCACTTCACTGACCCATCTCTCTCTCTCTCTCTAACGTACTAATCACCTTCTTCAGGCCATCAGGTGGTTCAGGAAGCAGAAGCAGCAGCAGCAGCAGGTCAGACATGGAAGGTGGCGCCGACGACGACATGGCGGACGGAATGCAATGCAGCGACCATCCTTACAGAACCAACCCTCACGGCATCTGTGCTCTCTGCCTCCAAGAGAAGCTCGGCAAGCTCCTCTCCTCCTCCCTCCCTCTCCCTCTCCGTCCTTCCTCCTCCTCCTCCCCCCCTTCTCCTTCCTCCTTCAGATCCGACCTCCTTCCTCCGCCCTCCTCCTCCTCCTCCTCCTCCTACTCTCGCCATCCTTCTTCTTCCCTCTCCCTCCCTCAATCCCAACCCAACAATGGATATCATCACCACTCCCACCGCCCTCGTCTCCTTTTTCTCTCTACCAAGAAGAAGGCCAAGAAGAAACCTTCTGTTGCTCCTTCTTCTTCCTCTTCCTCCGCCGCCACGGCTTCCTCCGACGTCGTCTTCAAGCGAAGCAAGTCTACCGCCACTCCTAGAAGAGGCAGGCTCTTGGATGACCCAGGGGATAGCCCTAGAAAAAGGAACGGGTTCTGGTCTTTTCTTCATCTCTCTTCCAAGTCATCATCCTCCTCTGTTTCCGGGAAGAAATTAGACGCCAAGAGCCTTAGAGACGGAAATATCAGCTCCTCCGGGCAACAGAAGGAGAAGTGCGAGGGATCGTCTTTGGGAGCAAGAAAGATTGACATTGTTGTGGAAGACGACGAGACATGTAATAGCCGGCAAACCTCTGCTTCTTCCTTCGAGCGCAAAGTTTCGAGATCCAGATCTGTTGGTTGTGGAAGCAGAAGCTTCTCTGGCGATTTCTTCGAGAGAATATCCACCGGCTTCGGAGATTGCGCTCTCAGGAGGGTCGAATCTCAGCGCGAAGGGAAGCCCAAAGTCGCCCGCGGCAGCAGCGGCGGCGACCACCACCACCACCACCATTCCATGAAAGAAAGAGCGAGGTGCGCAGGATTATTCAGTGGCTTCATGATGAACTCGTCTTCGTCATCATCATCATCTTCGTCTTACCTGGTTTCATCCTCGAACGACGATCAAACCACGGGCAGAAAATCAGAATCTATGGCTCTGTCTCAGAGCAGAGGAAGGTATTGGGGCTGGGCATTCGCCAGCCCCATGAGAGTCTTCACCGCCAAACCTTCAAATTCCAAAGACGTCAAGAACAACGCCACGCCAAATCTGTCTGCTATTCCTTCCTTGCTTGCTGTCAGAGGCTGAAGAATCCAAAAAAGGAAAAAAGAAAAATCCATCTTGGAGTCAAGATGATTCACGCTTACTACATCATATATCGTTACTTAACCAGCATGTTAAATTCTTAAATTTTCGCTAATTATGTAATGCAATACTCTCGTTTTCCATGCAATTTTCTGGGAAAGCTGTTACCTGTTTGTTCATATTCAGATGGTTATGATGGGTGTGTTTGGAGAATGCGAAAATAAAATGAGATGGAAATAGGAGATTGGGCTGAGCGTGATGGATTTAGCAGTTTACTTACAAATGGTTGTATGTATTCATTGGAAATTGCAGAAAGTTTAGTGGGAAGTGCATGTACGGTTACATGAATAGTGCCTGGGAAATATCCCCAAGGTGCATGATTCAGCCCTCAGCGTGTTAATAATCATGATGTCTCTTCTATTTTGCCTACAAGAGTTTCATTTCTTCTTCTTTTCTTTTCTTTTTTTGTGTTTTCATTTCCTTGTCTTGATCCATCTTCAGGTATCTCCCTATTCAATATTTCGATGTTTATATAATATTAGTTAATATGTACACAACGCCTGTAGCATTTCTGGATAATCCTCTGTATTCGTTTTTCATTTAGAGGATTTTCTAGTAACATTTAGTATCGTCTTTTTCAGTGGCAATCAGTATTCTGAATTTAAATATTAAATATTATTGAAAAAATTATTAATTAAAATTCAATAATTTTTTAACTTTAAAATCATTTAATATATATAATTTTTAAGAGAAATAATAATTAGTCATGGATAAAATTGCAGATTCTTATCATAGATTTAATGAGATGATTTTTATAAGGAAAAGTCTTTAAATTTCTTATAAACAGGATGAGACAAGTATTTATTAATCAAATTATTTTCCAGTAATGCCGGAACTTGTCTAGTCTGGTTGGCATTAAAAATAGAATTTGTTTATTAATTTTTTGCCTTGTTACTTGAATATAATACAATACTACTTATTCAGAGCTAACGGGCATCCTAAGCATCCAAAGACGATATAAAATTTATAAAAAGCAAAACATTATTTACAGACCGTAATATGGCTTTCCTTAAAGAATTTTGTTCGGCATTGTAATTTTCCTAATGTTTATTTTTTTTTGTTTTTATAGTAAAATTTACATATTAAAAAAATAATATAATTTTAACAAAAAATTTGATTTAATACTCTTCTGTTTTTAATGCAGGATATACTTGTTCAGTTAATCTTGATCTTAAATATAAAACCTATTTATCATATTTACTATTTTTTAAATTATCTTTATTGATACTCTTTTAATCATAATTAAATAAGAGAGAGAAGAAAGGTATTAAGAAAAATCATTATAATATTTCTTAAAAATATTTTTATAATTAACTAAATTATGTAATTTTTTCAATCTAACTAAATTAATCAAATAAAATTTATTTTAATAACTGGAGCAGGAGTATTATTAAACATAAATGTGCGTAGATGTCTTATTTGTGGCTACCGTTTCTATCCACCTCAGTCTGACAAATGACCACGCTCCTCAGTATTTTTCTTGTCAGAATTGATGTTTTCCAAATAAAACATGAAAAAATGAGGCAGGAAAGGTTAAAAACGTCTATATGCATATACTCGTATGATATAAAATCATGAGTTAGGAGTATTACTTTAAAATTAAAATTCACATTAAATTTTTTGGTGACAAATTAAAAATTAGTCGGGTGAGATAGGGTGATGCATCACTGTAGCAGTGCAGAGAGCGGGTAGTGTGTATCGTCATTGTCATTTATGTATTTTAGCAGTAAGTGATAAGTGATGACGAAGCACCAGAATTTTACCCCCAACCTTTTCCCCTGCTCTTTATTCTCATGTTTTTTTTCCCTTTCATATTTTTTTAAAAAAAATAAAATTCTTAGATCTAGTTTATAAACATAATTTATACTCTTGGAAATCACAATCCCACCCTTACAAATCCATGACAACAGGAGAAAATTTTCTATGAATCAGATTTATGGGCTAATTGAACAACCAATGTTGCAATAATAATTCCCCCCAATTTTCCCAATTTTATTTTAGAAATTAAAATGGATAAATTAAAAAATATTTAAAAATAAAAAATAATTACAATAAAAATATTAGTTTATTAATTGACAATAATTTTATCAGATAAAATAATATATGATTCGGCATTGCATAAATATTTAAACCTAAATACAAAGGATAGTGTGCTGGAAAAAAAGTTAATATAATCTGTAATTCTTTAATTTTGTTCTCATTTTAGTTTTGGTATCTTAAATTTTAAATCATAAGTTTTAGTCCCTCAAATTTTTTATTTAAAATATTAATTTTTATAATTTAATAAAAACCTGAATTTAAAACTTGAAAAACTAAAATAAAAATAAAAATAAATTTGAGAAGTTATAAATTATCTTAACAAAAGAAAAACATATAAAGAAAAGAAATGTCGCGCAGTGCGGAGGGTGCGAATGTGTGATTATTTATTACAAATTCTGACAAAGGGGTGATTATTAATTGGTGGGACCATTTTGCACTGTTAAGTTTTAACTTTACCGTATATTGCGTGCATACGTGAAGTAAAATCTATGAGCCCCTGTCTCGTCATTCCCGTCGGATTTTCCTTATTTTATTTTTACCCTTTCATACAACGTTTATTTTCATATTCCTCTCAAACTTTTTTAACCACTACAAAATAATATATTAAATAAGAGACTTCAAATATAAAAAAAATGTTTATTCTAACCTTAATCAGAAAAAAATCTGTTTCCAGTTAATATTTATATATACTACTTCTCTGATTCTAAATATAAGACCTATTTACAAAATAGGTCTTAAATTTAAGATCGGAGGGAGTATATACTTATGAGTTTTAAGCATATATCTGCAACTATTTGTGTTATTTTCTCTCTTTCTGGTCACATTTTATTGTTAGAGAACACCATGGGCTTATTTTTCAACATATTTTTTTTTCCTAAAAAGATTACTATGTGGAAGAAGTGGGCCCAGAAAAAGCTTCTATTACTCTTCAAGAATTTAGGCCACTAATGATGATTAGTGAAGGACACAATTAATTTGGACTCGAGCTTTGTTATCTTCACTATTTTGTACTTTCTAGGCCCACAATCATTTGAAAATGAATCAATCTTCCGAAAAAACAAAAAACGCATCACTGTATACCAAAAAAAAAAAAAAACGCATCATTCATTCCAAGACTTCGCACACATGCGTGTTTGAAAAGATGGACATAATTTCCCTCTTAGATCTAAATCCATATATTATTTGCTACAAGTCTTATATACCACCTTTTACCCTTAACATAAAAGTTAGTTTGATATTTAATTTAATTCTAAATATGAGATTCTAATTCATTTTATCTCGTATTTACCCATTATTTTCAAGATGGTCTTTGCAGTATTAAATAGGAGTTTTAACTAATATACACAATTAGTAAGAATATTTACAAAAAACATATATTTATTATAAATAAATAATTTAGTTAGTCTCCTTAATGTATTCAAATTAATTAATTAGCTTGTATATTAAAAATAAAAGGTAATAAAAATCATGTGTTTATTATTGTATTATACCCGTACGCAAATTTTAATATATTTTTAACTAAGATATGAGAAATTCGGGGGAAAAAAAACCCCATTATTTGACGGTGCACGTGAGGATATATATCAATCAAATCAGTTTTGACTTTGAAAGAGAGAGACAAAAAGCTCCAGGCTGTAACATGATATGTGGGGATTCCTTAATTCTCAAATCTATGTCTATACTTTACAATACCTAATATGACAAATGTTGAATGCTTAATCCGAAGATTTAAAAATATATATATATTTTGCGGCCACAAAAATAACAACACAACTATAACATTATTTCTTGCAGATTTATAGAATTGTTGTTGTTTTAATTAGACCCTCATGATATATGTCTACGGCAGGGCCCCAGGGTATTATTGGCAGATCAGGTCTAAGTGTTGGCCAAAATAAAAATCATGATTTTTTGAAAAATATTGGTTCCATGGCCCTCTCGAGTCCTGAGTTTTTATTTAAGGTCATAGTAAATTTAGTTGTATATGCAATAGGGTTTTAGGTACTTAATTATGATTAATTAGGATTTTTTTTTGGAATATTTTTGCCCTCAATGTAACAACCATATTTCTCTCTTATATGTAACAGTTTAATAATAAAATTTGGAAAGGAAAGGGTAAAGATTATTAGATTCTTTGTTGCGGAATTAACAACTTATTTATTCATGTTTTTCGTGTTTTTGGTGGGTCAAAATAAATAATACATATAATTTCAATTTAACTAACATTTTTTTTTAAATGAAAAAGATGTCATTGAGATATGATAACACCTTATCAACCATGTCAACCACTATATATAGCTTAACCATATCAACTTAACCGTTTAATTAGTAATCACACCACAGAGGTAAAACTACTCCCAAATCAACTATGCAGCAATCATTAAGCAAACTCAAACACATCACAAGTTATCAACTACTCCTCCGGTCCTTATTATAAGACCCAATTTGACTTTTTATTTGGTCCTAATTATAAGACCCAATCCATTTTGTCTCTTATATTTATGCATTTTTTTCCAAGATAATCCTTCTAATAATGATAGTTTTAGCCAATATACTTAATTAGCAAGGATATTTTAGGAATGACAACACTTATTTATTATAAATAACCAATTTAACTTACTTCCTTAATCTCCTCAAATAAGTCAATTGGGTCTTATAATTAGGACCAGAGGAGTACTAAACTTCAAATGCTGTATAAGGAGGCTTATTTGGTGAGAGGGCAACTACATACAGCCTACAGGTTTTTACACATAGAATGTTCATATATAAAATGAATGTCTTTTGTCTTGCGAGACAAAATTTTTTGTACATACTGATCTCGTACAAATTATTTAAACGAGTGACTTGCTTAGTTTCTTTAACATACACTAATTACATGGTGAGTCTCCAAGACAGGGCTCATCCCAAAAAAGATCTAAGGGGGTGTTTGACAATTGCTCCAGAAGTGCTTCTGGGTCCTAAACCATGGTTTGGGGAAGCTGATTGCCAAACACCCTTTTTTTTTTTTAAAAAACCATGGTTTCTGGCAAAACCTTGGTTTTGGCCAGGAAAACCATGGTTTGCCAACAAGCACGAGGGGGTCGCTTCTGAAGAAGGAAAATCGGTCGTTGGAGTAATTATTACTCCTGTCAGTAGCTCCAACGGTGAAAAAGCACCAACTCTCTTCTCCCATTCATCAGCCATTCTACCCGGAAGCCTCTTCTCTTCCATTCGTCCTGCCATTGCCCTCATAACCACTTGAAGATCCGGTCTTGTTCAACTCACTCGAAAATATCGAGCTGCTATGAGTTGCTCATTAGAGAAGAATCCGAGGAAAAA